CTTTTTTTTTTTTTTTGTGCAAATCAAAATTTAACAAATTGTTGAAGATATATATTGTGTCAAGTCTGATTGGATATTTAAGCTTTAGCGGCTTGTTAGGTTGTTCTTCCTATATATGGCTTAATTATTATTGCAATAGTAATGAGATGATCATAATGACTATGTAGCAATGCTCTTGTACATTGTTAATGGAGATTGATAAATAATAGTTAATAAAAGGTTGAATTTTTTTATTATATTGTTTAACTTTGCTTCACCTCTGGATCTACGGTTTACTTTGTTAAACCTTTTTGTGTTACTTCCTTGTTTTGTGGAAAATATTTTTTCGATGACAACTTTTTTCAAAAATGTTTTTCATAAAAAACATATTTCTATGTTGATTGCAACTTGAAATGCAACTAATATGTTAGTAGTTGTATTGATGGTGTGGTGGTGGTAGAGGAGGTGGTATTGTAACACAAAGGACAAATACAATCACGAAGAAGGAAAGATCAAGAGAATATAGGAATACCAAATTTATATTTGCTGGCCTTCTAGTTCTTTGCTGAATACAAACACATTAGAGCTCCTTGTATAGCAACGGAGGAAGCTCTAGGAACAAACATGCTACAATAGTCCCCATCCAGAGTTTGGACTAAGAAAACCATTCTTCAATTCAATTTCAATTCTATAATGTGAGTTACAATTATTGGGATCAAAGAACAAAATTACGCAAATACTTGGAAGACTCAAAACAATGAATTGATTTGAATGAATTTCATGGAAATTGCACAAGAGAAGTATAACTTTAAGAGGGAGGTAAAATTGTTTCATTGAAACTATCATCTTCCGTTGTAGTCACTAACATCCACAGTAAAGTTACAAGCTTACATCTATGTTGTTTTTGTATTACTGTTAATCATGGTAGTATACACTTTCTATCTCAAGACTCCTGAGAATGCACCTTGTTTGTATACATGCTCCTGACTGACTAAGTGATATCATCAAGTTCATCGTATAATTCATGCCACTCTATATAACTTCACTGTTCATATTAGCTGTTAATCCTGGAATATGTCCATCGAGGATTCAGATGAGGAAACCGGGAGTGTTTTGTATCTTGAATTTTCGCGCAAGGAAGGAATTTCTGGCACCCCATATTTAGACTTCATATTTTGAGACCAGTCTTCATAGATTTCCCAGGTTGAGGATTAATCTGGAGATGGTTCCGGCTGTTGTATTCTGGGAGCTGCCTGCATCAGGGAAAGTAGCATTGAAGGATGCTCTTCTGTCTTCTCTGTCAATTTGTGTGTGACCGGTTGTTTCCTCTGTTGTGCTCTTACAGCTACGTACTTTATCTGGCAATGATTCTCTGCTGGTTTGATGATGGGCCTCTCCTCTTGAAAGTATTAAGTAATTCTCTGCCCATGCCTCGATCAAAGCTGGTTGTTGTTTTTTGTGTTCAACGGGCAACCTTATACCAGGACCATTTTTGAGTTAATATGTAGTGTACATTCTTGGTGGAATAATAAGAGAGGGGGGGGGGGGGGGAATTAAAATAAGATGAAGCTTGGTAGAGCCAACAGGCAGCCCTAAGATCTGTAGGCAGACACAAATCTTGGTTGCACCATGAGCATGAGCTAGTAAGCCCCCACACATCCTGGGTGTTGTTGTCCGTTGTCCAACACGGGCAGACACCAACACAGGAAACACTGTATCCACACGTCCAACATGGCTACGTGGCGTGTCTATTTTTTAAAATTTTATTTTTGCTAGGACACGCAGGAAACCACTTGATGGACATGTGTGACCTATGTATAGAACATGGCTTCAGGATACCTTAAAATTGATTTTTATGAAATTTCAGAAAGTGATTTAGGGTCAAGGTAAAATTTACGGAAACAAAGAGAGAAAAATAGAAAAGAAATAAAAATACACCATATAATATAGATCAAACCTCTCATTTTTATATATTCTAAGTTTATATTCATATACATAGTAAATAAAAAATATTGATATAATATCATTTGGCCATATCCCATGTGATTATCCTAATTTTTGAAACATCTTGTTGTACCCGTGATTTGTCCGTGTCCTAATTTCATAAATTAGAAAAATATATTTTTAGCCATTCCAATAATAATAAAAAAGCACCACCAGATAGAATTGCAACTGGTATTCTTTGTGTTAAAAAAGAAAAAACAAAAGACAATACCTTGATATATTACTAGGAGCTAACAGCATCCTTGTTATTGCTGCTAGACTCAAGATCCATAATTTATGTCGTTGAAATTCCTTGCTAATGGAATAACAAGTTCACTAACTTTATGACCTTTGATTCAAGCCAAGAACTGTTCTGAAAATATAAAAACAAAAAAAAATGGTAATAAATTTTCATATTTTTTAAGCAAATTATGGAATTAATAGGAAGGCGAAAAATTATAAGTGAAACTGTTTTCGTTTAATTTCAGTTCTTCCCCCCCGTAATGCTATAGCCCACAGGTGCAAGAATGCTGAGCCCAGAATGCATAATGCCAAAAACTTGCAAAATGTGAAGATAACCCAAACACGTGCCACATACAAACAAAGACATTGATCTGTTTACACACTCTTCTGCAAAATCATCAATTCCTGATGGATCGAATCCCGTCATTCTATATCGATTCAGGCTTCACTTGAAATCTGAATATTCTTCCAGTTCTCCAAATAATCAATGATCGATCAAAAAAATTGCCTCGCAATCATGTATTGGTGTATATAACCAGATAAGTGGGATAGATGTTATTAAATCCATTTCCAAAGAAAGGGACAGCTTGATTCAATATTCCCATTTCTCGCACATAAAATGGGAATTTTGTTACTCAAATTGTATAATCAACGCGTTTAAAGAGGAGAGAAAGAGATGACTGTGGTGTATAGATTCTTCTATGTACAGGAAATGACTAGGTTTTTTTTTTTTTGGGGATAAATTTAATACCGGTTGACGAATGACGTGCTTAATAACATAAATGGGTCAAAAAGAATAATGACTATCCAAGCAATTACGACACAAGTAACACCAAACATACAGATTAACAACCCTGCCTATTTCCTCCAAACTCATTCAAAGAAAAAAGCTTCTTCAAGGCCAAATGCTTTAGCGTCCATGTACACTCGTTATCCACAAAACATAAATTTATAATGTTTGGGGGTGCTTAAGTCTAGCAAGACATGGTCAGAAATATTACTATTGGGTAAAGGGCTTGCTCATTGATGAAATTTCATAACCTAGCCTTACAAAACTAGTGTTCTGTTATCCCGTGTTCAAAGCTTGGTATGTTTCGACCAACCTATATATATATATATATATGGCAAATGCTAAAAAGTGCCCCCTATGCATTGTTTAATATTGGGAAAATGTGTAAAAAACGTCTTGAAAATATGTGAAAAGGTTAAAAAGCGTATTGATTTTAGTAAAAGTGCATTAAAATTAATGAAAAATGTATTGTATTCTACAAATATTGTCTTTTACTTATGCCCTAGGGGCAATTGTTAGTAAGACCCTATATATATAAAATAAAATATAAAAAAAAGGTCATTGAAGCTGTACTCAATAATCAAACTTTGAATCTGAAGCATAAAACTTAAATATATGAAGTCTCTACATAAATTGAAGGCTTTGATTTTCACCAAAGATGAGCTCATGCAACTAAAAGCACTAAAAAAAAAAATTATTACAGAAAATTTACCTGCACTAGTACCTCTTGCTTTCCTACAGCATTTATCAGTATAGAGAATAGAGACAAATCAACTCCACTTGGAAGTATAGTAGCCTCAGCCAACAGAATTGCAGCTGACATGCAACCAAGTATCACAGCCAAGACTTTCTCAAGTTGCTTCCTTAGAATACACCGGTAGACCAACTCTGCAAGGAGTTGAATTACCAATCACATGAGAGCTAGTATATTTACAAGGATGTGTATGGCCTTCAAGGAAAGAAGGAAAAATGATGAGTAAATTGCATAATAATCGCCAAAGAAGGTGCAAACCTTGCATTTATTTATGGTCCATACACAAGAAAGAAGGATAAAATAAAATGACTATATACAGACAACAGAATCTAGAGTATCAATAGGAGACAAAAATAATTAAACCAGGGATCAAGTCTCCCCATTACCCAACTAAAACCGAAAAAATGTTTTCAAACTATGAATGGAGTCCTCGACTACATGAAAAGATCTCTTAGTCTACTCCAACCAAATACACTTCATCCAACAAAGGGGCAGTTCCCAAAGTCAGCTAAACTTAATCACTTCCCAATGCATCAAATCAACTATCAATCTAGGAAAGACCCAAATCATGACTTAGAAAGGTGAAAAGCAATGACCGAATCTCTTTAACCATGCTATGTTGAATGATGGACATCTAAAATAGAATGAAAAATAATTCCTCTACATTTTATGTAGCAGCTGATATGATGCCATTTTTGTTCTCATGGCAGTTACAGAATGAATCTATCACATTGAATATTTATACATGGCATATTGACCAGAATTTGATAAAAATGCTGTTCAAATTTCATACAACAACGATTGAAAGGATGATCAGACTTTTCCAATAATGCAAATATCATCTCTTTCCAAAGTATTTCATTGGGTCATCATATGCAATGGAAAACGAAACGAAATGACTTCATACCCATAGGACATCCAAAAACCTGTCATTTAATTGCTTTAATAACCAAGGACTAAAATGCCTATTAAGAGTAGTGCAATTAAAAACAGGCCTAATAACTGAAGCAGGTAGTATATTTCAAAAAAGGTCATAATTTCAATCTCGAAAGATGGCCGGCAAAAAGGGGAGAAAAAAGTGCAAACAAAACAAATAACTTCAGAAATTTGTTGATATTTACCAATCATATCAAGAAAGGATCCTAGTGCGCCTGCTCGCTCAGGCCTAAAGCTTGAAATGAATTTCCTGCAAATTTACAAAAATTAAAATTAAAATTAAAAAAATAATAAAATTTACAATCAACAGAAACAAACTTGGAGTTAGCACACATAACAAACTAAGGTAATATGTGGCACCAAATTTCCAATGGTAAGGATCTTCTAGAAGACAAAATTAAGGAAAGGCCTTGTGTTGGACTTCCTTTTGGACTTATCCTACAAATGCCTTCAAAGGGGTGTGTACCTTTAAGCTCTGTTTTGAGGGTTGGGGAGGTCATTTACTACATACAAACTCCAATGATTTCTAAACCTTCCCCTTCCTTTGGACCCCTCTGCCAGAAGAGAGACTTCAGTTGTGATGGAAGCCTTTCTAGGAAGCCACGTCAACTGGGATTTGACGGTATATTCAAGAAGCAATTGAGGGAACACGATTTGTTCCTTTCTCAAAACCTGCTTCCATAGGGTTTGCTCCAGAGGCAGAAACCACAACTCTTCTAGAAAGCTAGAACTAGATGACCTCCGAGAGGCTTATGCACTTATATATATATATATATGGCAAATGCTAAAAAGTGCCCCCTATGCATTGTTTAATATTGGGAAAATGTGTAAAAAACGTCTTGAAAATATGTGAAAAGGTTAAAAAGCGTATTGATTTTAGTAAAAGTGCATTAAAATTAATGAAAAATGTATTGTATTCTACAAATATTGTCTTTTACTTATGCCCTAGAGGCAATTGTTAGTAAGACCCTATATATATAAAACAAAATAAAAAAAAAAGGTCATTGAAGCTGTACTCAATAATCAAACTTTGAATCTGAAGCATAAAACTTAAATATATGAAGTCTCTACATAAATTGAAGGCTTTGATTTTCACCAAAGATGAGCTCATGCAACTAAAAGCACTAAAAAAAAAATTATTACAGAATTTACCTGCACTAGTACCTCTTGCTTTCCTACAGCATTTATCAGTATAGAGAATAGAGACAAATCAACTCCACTTGGAAGTATAGTAGCCTCAGCCAACAGAATTGCAGCTGACATGCAACCAAGTATCACAGCCAAGACTTTCTCAAGTTGCTTCCTTAGAATACACCGGTAGACCAACTCTGCAAGGAGTTGAATTACCAATCACATGAGAGCTAGTATATTTACAAGGATGTGTATGGACTTAAAGGAAAGAAGGAAAAATGATGAGTAAATTGCATAATAATCGCCAAAGAAGGTGCAAACCTTGCATTTATTTATGGTCCATACACAAGAAAGAAGGATAAAATAAAATGACTATATACAGACAACAGAATCTAGAGTATCAATAGGAGACAAAAATAATTAAACCAGGGATCAAGTCTCCCCATTACCCAACTAAAACCGAAAAAATGTTTTCAAACTATGAATGGAGTCCTCGACTACATGAAAAGATCTCTTAGTCTACTCCAACCAAATACACTTCATCCAACAAAGGGGCAGTTCCCAAAGTCAGCTAAACTTAATCACTTCCCAATGCATCAAATCAACTATCAATCTAGGAAAGACCCAAATCATGCCTTAGAAAGGTGAAAAGCAATGACCGAATCTCTTTAACCATGCTATGTTGAATGATGGACATCTAAAATAGAATGAAAAATAATTCCTCTACATTTTATGTAGCAGCTGATATGATGCCATTTTTGTTCTCATGGCAGTTACAGAATGAATCTATCACATTGAATATTTATACATGGCATATTGACCAGAATTTGATAAAAATGCTGTTCAAATTTCATACAACAACGATTGAAAGGATGATCAGACTTTTCCAATAATGCAAATATCATCTCTTTCCAAAGTATTTCATTGGGTCATCATATGCAATGGAAAACGAAACGAAATGACTTCATACCCATAGGACATCCAAAAACCTGTCATTTAATTGCTTTAATAACCAAGGACTAAAATGCCTATTAAGAGTAGTGCAATTAAAAACAGGCCTAATAACTGAAGCAGGTAGTATATTTCAAAAAAGGTCATAATTTCAATCTCGAAAGATGGCCGGCAAAAAGGGGAGAAAAAAGTGCAAACAAAACAAATAACTTCAGAAATTTGTTGATATTTACCAATCATATCAAGAAAGGATCCTAGTGCGCCTGCTCGCTCAGGCCTAAAGCTTGAAATGAATTTCCTGCAAATTTACAAAAATTAAAATTAAAATTAAAAAAATAATAAAATTTACAATCAACAGAAACAAACTTGGAGTTAGCACACATAACAAACTAAGGTAATATGTGGCACCAAATTTCCAATGGTAAGGATCTTCTAGAAGACAAAATTAAGGAAAGGCCTTGTGTTGGACTTCCTTTTGGACTTATCCTACAAATGCCTTCAAAGGGGTGTGTACCTTTAAGCTATGTTTTGAGGGTTGGGGAGGTCATTTACTACATACAAACTCCAATGATTTCTAAACCTTCCCCTTCCTTTGGACCCCTCTGCCAGAAGAGAGACTTCAGTTGTGATGGAAGCCTTTCTAGGAAGCCACGTCAACTGGGATTTGACGGTATATTCAAGAAGCAATTGAGGGAACACGATTTGTTCCTTTCTCAAAACCTGCTTCCATAGGGTTTGCTCCAGAGGCAGAAACCACAACTCTTCTAGAAAGCTAGAACTAGATGACCTCAGAGAGGCTTATGCTTTGGGATTAAATGGCTTTTTGCTTCAGGGAAATTCTGTTGAGGTAGTAGGATGTACAATGATTTCATGTGCAATGTACAATGATTTTGTGTACCAGAATTAAATTACACAACAAAAAATATGAATAGCAATCAGTGGAAGGACAAAAAAGAAGAAAGCTTGGATTAAGAGCAAACCATCCAGTGGCATGGCGACGATCGTAATTCTTTATAGTGTCCTCCAGTTCGAGGGCTTCCATCACAAAATTCATATATTCACTACAAAGATAATTAAAAATTAAAAAATAAGTGAAATTCAGATTTGCATCCCTCTTGCAATCCATCTATCAAAGCATAATCAAAATTCAAGCTACCACTAGAGAGATCAAGCTTTGAGAGGCACAAAGCAAGGAAAAGGCTGTAATGTAAATGATGATGCAAAATTTGCAAATAAACGACTGCAAAAGTAGCCTTTGTTTTCATAAACTGATTGACACAATAAAAGCCAATCTGGGCAGAACTTTTGATGATACCATTGCTAGCATAGAGGAAATGCAAAAAATAAAAATGCATGAACATGAACAAATCCCATGTGTATGCTGTGGGTTAATCTTCAAAATTTCAGCACTCAAGTTGTTCACGTAGTAACTATGTACCTTTTGCACCGGTAATACTCCTCTCGAGCTCTTTTAATTTGAAGCCTAAGAGCCGCCATTGATTTTTCATCCGTGTCATAATCCATATCATTTTCTCCAAATCTTCCACCTTGTGGTTTGAAAGATGGATCTTCGCTAAACTAGTAGAGCAGGATAAGACCATTCGTTAAAAATGAAAAAAGAAAACAAGCTAAATGTCAAGCATGTATGCTTTGAAAAGCTTAGTGTTACACATACAAAAGTATTTTGAAACATAAAGCACCTCAGGTATAAACAAGTGTAATTACCATCTGAAGCAACATGTTATCAATAACATTCATGTAGGGTCTCAAAGGATCACGCTTAGACATTTGCTTTGATGTTGCTTGAGCAACCTAATAGAAAAAAACATCACAATTTGTCACTAAAGAAAACCAAAAATAAATCATAGAATGTCCAGGAAGTTCTACTCGTTATGGAATCTCAGGTGTTCATGTGTGGATTTTAGTTTTTTTAAAGAAGGAGGTGCTATGTTGGAAATGTATGAAATATAGTAAATATCATAAAGGTAGATGTAGTAGGCATACGGCACTTAAAAGTCGTACAGATGGTCATGTTTCATATCGAGCCATTGAAGCAGCATAGTTTAAATTTCATACACTTCAAGTATGAATTTAATTAAATATAAAATGAAGATCAAGAGTTCATGCAACAATAGATCTTTTGAATATGTTGAATAAGGAACAAATATTGCATAAATCTTATAATTTGGTGACACCAGGAGCCTAGGACTTCCCATCATTCACAATGAAGGCAAAGACTAAACCCTTGCAACTGAAATTCAACTATAGGTCTAGTAATTTCACACAAACGGAGAAGAGAACCACAATGTCTTCTTATCAATATCAAAAAAACAAAAAAGGACAAAAGGCAAGACTCAACATATTGAAGAGTAACACATACTATCAAAAGGTTGAACTCTAAGATAATTGGCATTACCCATGCAAAGAAAATTGACCAACTTGAAAATGTTTTAGAAAATGGACCATCAAATGCATAAAAAACAAATGAACTCCGAACAAACCCAAAGCTCTACAGCAACCTCACAATTGATGACAAAATTATTTACAGAATCTCTTGCTTATTGGCGACAACACTTATTGACAACATGTTGTCAACCTCCCTATGTGATTAGCTCTCCTTTGGGCATTTTCTATCCATAACTGTCTCTCCCTCTGCCTCCAACTAATCTCCTCCAAAATCATAAGTCTTCCGACCTCCCCTTTCTTCTCAACTCTTTCACAAGAGATTAGACATGTTGATGACAAGGAGGGCAGAGAAGGCATCTCAGAAGTAGAGATATTGATATTCTCACCTCACCCTGCCAAAGACTTCCGTATTTCATTTCTTCAAATCCTCATCACTCCATTCATTACTCTGAAAAATGAGAATTTTGAAAGATATTGGAAAACCATCTAGTGCCTGTAGAATATTGTCAACAACTCAATACCCCATATTTACCTGGGTAAGATCTACAATTTTTTTGTTTGGATAAGTTTCAATTTCATTACTAGCATGTTTAAAAGTTTATCTATACTTTTTTAACACTAACAGTATTCTCTATGTCTCTTACTTCCTTCAGTTTCTGTCTTAGTCATGGATGACAAATGACCATTGCAGCATATTCCAAAATAATTCCTTAGTGTTTTATTTTGTTCCTTAATAACTATAGTTATTGAGAGAGAGAGAGAGAGAGTTTAAAATATATACAAGGAAAAAAGTTCAGAATGTCACCAAGGGATGACACTTACTACAATTGCATTTGAAAATTCTTGATGAGCATCATCAAGTTTCACAGCCATTTTAGCCACTTTTTGAGAAAGAACCTTTTGACGAAAAGTCCAATCAACATTTTTCCAGATACCCTTTGGAATCTCACTCAAACCAAAGCCAAGAAGAAATGCACCAGTTACGAGCCCAAAAGTATTTGAACAAGCCATCGCAAAACCAAGAATAGTAACATTCCTACAAATACCATATCAAGATTTGAGAATAGTTAAATAAAAGACACCAGTCATAAACATTCAAATGGAACTAAGATACACAAGTTAAAAACCATGCACTGCTGGTGGTTGAAAAGGCAAATAAATAGGTTTCCAACAAACAGCTGCCAATCCATCCATGCAAAATAAGTTATATCATAACAAAGACATTCAGTAATCTTCCAAAAACATGACAGAATACACTATAATATCATTTTGTTCCAGAGTGATCAATTACTTCCATCATATATATATAGATATATATATTTTTTACATATTTATAAGCAAATAGTTGCAATATTGATGAAGCCAAAGTAAAGATAATATAACGACTGGGCATCAGAAACAAATCAATGCAGAAACTCGAATGTTTTCTCTCTTTTGCAAATAATAAAAATTCAATCCCCGACTCAACCCTCCATTTTAGACGTCATATCTACACTGCACCACTAAAGAAACTTGTAAGCATGTGAATCTAAACCAAAAAGAATTTAAACCAAATAAATCAGGATTTATAGAAGAAAGCATCGGATCTGTATCAAACAACATTTATAGTCTAGCAGGTGAAAAAACAAACCTGTATTTGCGCAAAATAATGAGCAGTATAAGTCCAAAAAGTCCAATAGAACCGATACACAGGTAGAAGACTAAGTTTACATGTACACTAGTCTTCAATCTTTCTGCCACAGTGAAGTCCCCAGCATCTTCATAACCCTGAATTATAGGCACCACAGCCCTGCTTAGAGAAATAATTTCATACAAAACTATGAGAATATGTCCATCTTTAACAATGAAGCTACTAAAATGTACTCTAACCACCAGGGCATCTAAACTTATGAAGACAAAGCAATGGCAAAGGAAAGCACATGAAGAATATGCAGTTGCACAACTGCAGTAAGCGGCAGAATTTGAGAACTTCTGACCATTCAAAAATAAGGAAAAAAAAAATTTAGTCATATTTATAATACTTCTAACTAATGAGGACGCTTGAATACTTGAGGCAACATATAAACAAAACAAAACCAAGCCTTGTGTTCCTATCAATTGGGATCATCAGCTACATAAATCTTTTTCAGCAATTCCGCTTTGTCAAGGGCTATATGCTCAATAGTCAACATCCTGTGCTAGTAGTTGACCCCAAACATATAATAATACAAATACAAAGATAATATATACACTAAGTGAAGTACAAAGGACAGGGAGGAGAATATACACACAAACTTGCAACGTTAAAGAAGAGGAAAATTACAGTTTTCAATCATGTTAAGCATATCAAGAGCAAGGATGTAAGGGTCTAGGTGAAAAATAGGTATATAACAAAGATGTGGAAAAGTTGAAAAGTTGTTTGAGTGAAAATCTTATCAAAAACTTAAATTTAGAAGAATATGGTATATGTAGGAGGATTAAAGGGAAAAATAGATGTTGGAGGTAAAATTGCACAAGAAAGGAAAAACCAAAAGGGCAGTTAGGACAAGATGTTATTACTACTGAGATTGTAAGTATTTAGGAGATGATGATGCACCTCAGTTAGTAGAAAATATTTAATAACATCATAATAGATAAAGAAATGTTCAATGAGATCTCTTATAGTTCACCTTATGGTAGCCAATCTCCATTTTACTAGTCCTTTATTGTGTCAATTTATTAATTTGTAAATTAAACTCATTTATTTTTAATCAACCATATTATATCATGTAGAAACCATATTAAGATCTTTCCCTTTCTCTCTACTCCTTTTCATTTTTCAGATACTACTATTTCAAGTAAGATTTTGTCCAATCACTCTTCCCAAAGTTTGATTGCATGATTTAGTTATTTTTCTTGAACATGGTATGATTCAGTTTAAGACTGCAATAGTTTATATGGAAATACTTTCTGTAGGGTTTAGACACTTTTTGCATCATTTTATATACTCAGCTTAATACATTCTATCAAACTTTAGAATACCTTTTCACTAAGGATTGACAGTACATCCTTATATTTTTACCCTCGTAATCAACAAATTGGCCAAACACGTCTGAAACAAGGTGTGATTTCACTATTGTAGGCTTTTACTGATGATATTGTTCTAATTGACAAAACAAAAAGCAAGGGTAAATGCTAGTTTTGAACAAATAAAAAATAAATAAAAAAGAAGAAGAGGAAGAAGAAAAGACTCCATATTTAATACATGTGGAATCAAAACTAAATATAAAAAATGTAATTTCAACAAAAATAGATACAAATAAGGAAGTAATGAAGTACAAAGACCAAGGAATATCAAAGAGTGACTAGTTTCATTCCTTAGGTATGAATCTCTGATGCAATACAATGGATGTTCAAGATGGATGTGTGGTGAAGAGAAGGACTATAAAATTGTATGTATTGCATTCCTAAGATGGTAGAAGTATAAGGTAGTTGGAAAATGAGAAACAAACTGGTAAGGTGGTTGGAAAGATCCCTTTTACAAGAGAGTTGGGCCATGGAGGCCAGTGAGATAGCAATGGGTAGGTATGATACAATTCCCAATTTATTACATGACTCGGTCAACCTTGATCTTTGTCTAAAAGCCCCCCCCCCCTCTCTCTCTCTCTCTCTCTCTCTCTCTCTTGTCTAAGACTAGTCAAAGTGGGGCAACTCTGAAGGAGTGAGTTGAGCAGTTTGATGATCCCTCAACTCTAGGCACCAACCCACAAGTTCATGGTGATTCCGCATGGGATCATGGGTTGCGCGAGCATCCCATAACCATGGCACCAACCCCGAAGGAGTCCCTAGTCCTTGCTCCCGACCTAGGCAGGCCATACAATGTCAAAGTGCCATTTCAGAGTTGGAGCCTTGGCAAGGTAATGTGACTATCCAGTGGGCAAGGTGAGGTTGAGGCACATGATGAGCAAGTGGGAAGTTACAAAGCAAAGATAGTGAGGCAATCCAATGGTCAGGAAGCAGGTGTTGTGAGGTGAGCAGATGGTCACGGAATAAGAATGGTGCATAGCACTTTTTTTTTTTGAAAAATAAGCAAATTTTATTAGAAAAGCATCAAGACGATGCAACCAATACAAGAAAAACCATCCAGAAAGGGAACCAAGAGAACCAGAACTAACCAATCATTTCATCTATAAAATCTAAAAACGCTAATAAATCCGGATCGACCCTCCCTTCCAACCAACTATATAAAACTATAAAAAGACAACTTTGTAACCAAGAAACACTATGAGAAACTGCTAAGAAGGTAAGACGATTCCTTTCAAATCAAAGCAACCACATCAAGCAGAACGGCACCAATAACCAAGCTCGGCGCTGCCGCCGTCCAAGACGTACGCCCCGCCAAGCCCAAAGAAAAGCAGACACCCCTTGTGGCTGAACCCAAGCAAGGCCAAAGAGTGAACAAACGAAACCCCACAAACGCGAAGCCACCGAGCAATGAAGAAACAAATGATTCACTGACTCCGCATCCGCGCAGCACATACAACACCGATACACAAGGATGTGCCCTCGCCGCATCAAATTATCCAAAGTAAGATTCCGACCTAAAGCTACCGTCCACATAAAAAAGGCAACCTTAGTCGGAATCTCCGGAACCCAAACACTTTTCCAAGGAAAAACCCAAGCCACCATCTTCCATCAACCCCTGATAAAATGAGGCTACGGTGAATTGCCCCTTTGCCCCCAACCTAGTCCAGACCAACACATCAGGACCCACCCCGATTGGGCCTAGACCATATAAAAAACCCCACAACTCCACCAACTGAGCGATCTCCCAATCATAAACCTGTCGCCGTAACTGAATATCCCAAACTACCACACCCCCACCATCCAAATAAGAAGCTACTAAAGCATCTTGATCTAATGCAATATTAAAAATCAACGGGAAACGGGTCGCCAACACCAACTCCCCACACCACAAGTCTTTCCAAAACCGCACCCGACTCCCCTCACCCACCTTAAACCTTATCCATTTCCAAAACTCTACCCATCCCAACCAAATTCCTTTCCATAACCCACACCCATAAGTACAGGTCACAGACCCAGAAACCCAACCCCCTTTGCCCAGCCCATATTTAGACGCCACCACATGCTGCCACAATCTGTAAGGCTCCAAAGCAAAATGCCAAAGCCACTTCCCTAACAAAGCTTGGTTAAAAGTCACTAACCGTCGAACCCCCAGCCCTCCAACTCGCTTGGGTTGACAAACCTGACCCCAATCGACCAAATGATACTTAAAATCATCACCACCAGTCTCCCACAAGAATGGTGCATAGCACTTGGGGAAGGGAAGGTTCACAAACCAATGTGAAGTGCTCAAGTGAGCATCTTCCAAGACAAGGCTTATGCCTTAAGGTTGTGGGGTCCACTCCTTAGTGGTCCTATGACCAGTCGAAGAAATTCAAATACCTATATAATGTAAGAAAGAGTAAAATTATAGGTGATGCTAAGGAATAGAATAAAAAAATTAACACGAGTTGAGATAGAGGGAAGACATGGTGGCGTGTAGTTTGATAGAAATTGCAGGCCTGTACAAAGCATATGCGACAAGAATATGTTAAGTTAAGCAAGTAAACAATACACAAATCTTTCAAATATTGCACAATACAACTAAAAGATCACCTAGTAGATGACCATAATATGCAAATTCAACAGAGTGCTTGCTGCCATTTTTTTGATAAATAGAGTGCTTGCTGTCATTAACTAGATCTAACAAATAACAAATAGAAAAGTAAAAGCATACCAAGTAAGTAAAAATGTACTCCAGTATGACCAACTCCAAAAGAAAGAGATCCCTCCATTATGTTGACCAATTATTGTCTGCATAGAAAAAATGAGTTGGTTCTATTACTCCATAATAATAAATAAGCATGGTCAATTTGCAAATGTTGCTCACTCAAGTTCAGGATATTCAAATTTCTTCTAGGACTTTTTAATAGTACAAGCCATTTAATGTGACCAATTAGAAAATTATAATCTTAATATGAATAAAAAAACTCCATATAAGACCCAATAACTTGAGCAATGAAACAACCCACTGACTCATTTTACAGTCTGTGTGTGACCCATTTTACAGTACATGTAAAACAACTCTAAAAATTACCAAATTGCTCTTAACAACTAAAATGTAATAAACACTGATAATAAAACCATCCAATATCATACTAACCTACAAAAGACATAATTAGGACTCAAATTAAGCCTAAAATTCATTACAAAACAACTAAGATTGCCAATAGTTTTAAATATCACATCTACTGCCAAGCTATTGCTAATTAGTGAAATGAATTATGATCTAATAATGTATTGATTAAGCAATATTTTAGAGAACTAGAGAGAGAGAGAGAGTACCGTCCAAATGTCGGCGGGGACGAGGATGATGATGGAGAGAGAGCAGAACCAGGTGTATCCAACGGTGAAAAGGACGTATCGAGGCACATACGGTCCAGCGAAGTATTTCAGAGTTAAAAGCACCATGCCCAGCGTTAGAGGCATCGATATCAGATAGAACACCCACATCATTCTCTCTCTCCGCTCCTTCCTCTCTCTCTCTCTCTCTGTTCCTCGGGCAAAGGAAATAGAAGAATTGCAGCTGGGGTTAGGTTTTGAAGAAAAAGAAGAAGAAGAAAGCTTTAGCGTGAATGTTAATCAATTTGTGAAGAGAGAGACAGAGAGGGAGAGGGAGAGGGAGAGAGAGAGAGAGGGCGGATACCAGACCCGGTCAAGCGGAGCTCCAATTGCTGCCTTATTACTCTTTGGTCATGTTTGTTTGAGTGGACATGAGCTTGGGATTGGACTAATAGTTCAATAAAATTATTAATCCGATGTTTGGTTAAACAATTGAAGTACGGATTAATTATTTTAAACTTGACTTTTAGTTAAGATAGGATACATAATCCAACGGATTCGTAATCCCAGAATTATTAATCATGGGAATGCTAATTCAGTCCGCCCAAACAAACATGGTCTTTCTTTAAATTGTCCCCACTGGGTTGAAAAAAAATTTAGGGAACTTTAGAATAGTTGGACTTAGGATGTCGAGGGTTTGCGCGTTGATTTGAATTCGTTCATGTCTGTACGGTTTGGGAATAAGTTAATTTGTAATTGTTAGTAGGGTAATTTGTGATTTGTGCAGATAAAATTTGTGAATGTGCAGATAATTTGCGGATTAGATTTTTTTGTCAAAAAAATTTATTTTTTAGCCCTTTTTTTATTTTGTAAATATTTATTTTTGGTCATTTTCTCCCCATTTTCTAAAATGCTTTAACATTAATAATTAATAAATTAAAACTTGTAAAATTAAATACACAACAAAATTAATTCGTAACACAAACAAATCTTTCAAAATCCTAAATCAAATCATAAACTAATACAAGTACATATTTCAAAATCCTAAACTAGAACTCCATATTTATTAAGAAATTTAAAATTTCAAATCACACTTTATCTCGAATAAGTTCAACTATGAAACAATAATATTATTATTAGTATTTATTTAGTTTCAATTAATATAATACTATTAGCAAATGTAATGTTAGAACAAGTTCAAAGAAAAAAATATGTTTTGTTTTGGGCAAAAATATCTAGGTATGATATAAGAATGAAATCAACAGTTAAAATTAATAATAAAAATAAAAATAAAAAGTGAAGGCGAGTTCTTGCAGGTGCAGGTTAAACTCGCAATCCGTTTGCAACTCGTAAACATGTCATATTTCAAACCGCATCCTCTCGCATTGTGTCTACAAAACTGTCAATTTATATGCGGGTTTGACGAGTTTTGCGGATTGGATAAACTGTTGCCGAAATCTGGTAAGAATTAATCACGTTTTTATTAAATATCATCAAAAAAACAGTTATTAATTTTTAACTTTCAGCGATAGTTTGAAAATTTTGTTACAAAAAAACACTAATTAAAAATTTTAATTACAATTTATAAAAATCGTAATAAAAAAAAAATCACTAATTATTAATTTTTAACGATAAATGTAAAAAATTATCATAAAAATTATTTTTAACAACGATTTTACTAGACCTTATTTTCAATAAGACATATGGGAGTAAACTATTATGACTTATTAGTAAATTATCCAAAAAAAAAAAACTAATAATTTGAGAGAATAAAATAAGAAAAATTGCAACAACCAAAAAAAAATCAATATTTTATAAAACTTTAACTAATTTTTTTATTATTTTAGTTTAAACTTTAAATTTGTAAAAAGATATCAATTACAACCATCATTAAAGTAACAGTTTTATCTTTGGGGTTGTTTGAGATGACCTAAATAAGTATATTTTTTATTTTTTTACGAAAAGATGTGCAGAAAAGTAGAGAGATGATGTGATGAAAAAAAGAAAAAAAGACGGATTATTTTAGAGTTGCCAAACTTGGCCTTAGACAATTTAATTATTCTTAGGATTACTTTAGACAATTTAGAGTCCGTTTCGCAAGTTAGTTTCGGGCTATTTTAGTCACAAAAGACAAAATAGACTATTTTAGTCATAACAAACAAAATATCACATCCAATCCATAATTATTACACTATTCTCTCACAAAAAAAGTCAAAAAGCCAAAAAATTCTTCCCAAATCAAGTTTTTTAGCTCAGGCTAAAATAGACAAAAAATCCAAAAAGCTAAAAAGCCAACCCACTTCCCAAACGGAGGTTAATTATTGTTTTTGTCAATAGTGTTGAATAGCGCAGTGGCTAGGACTAGGAAAAGGAGGAGATGGGTCAGTGTTGTACTAAAAGTACAGCGGTGACTGTTATGACTTAAGGGATTGTTTGGCATGATCTAAATAAGTGTATTTTTTATTTTTTTTTTACGAAAAGATGTTCAGAAAAGTATAGAGGTGATGTGATAGAAAAAAGATAAAAAGATAGATTATTTTAGGGTTGTCAAACTTGGCCTAATTTAAGGTATATTATGTGTTTATTTTTATAATCTGAACCGTTCATTTTGTAGGGTTTATTGAGTACTTTATGCTTACTAAAAATCATATTAATTTAATATCAATAATTATATGATCGAATGGCATATTTTTTATGCTATTTCTCAAAAGAAAAACTTATTGTTTATTTGTTTGGTTATCGATTATATAGTTATTAATATTTGATTAATATGATTTTTGATATGCATGAAGTACTCAATAAATCTTACAAAATAAACAATTCGGATCATAAAAATAAACTCATAATATACATTAAATTGAAGCATAACAGGCATAACAGTGATCCCATTTAAAAAAAAAAAAACAAAAAGGAAAATGTTGTTGGTGCTAAATTTTTTATCAAACAAATTATTAAGGTTTCGTTTGGCAAGTGACTTTTTTATTTAAAAAGTTATTAAAAGAATTTAAAAGCTAATAATCTATATCAAAAACTTTTAAAAAAAAATTTACTTTTTGTACATATTTTCGTAAAAAGACAAAAAGTCATCCTTAGTGGCTACGTAAACAGTGTTACCTTAGACAATTTAATTAATTTTACAGGATTACTTTAGACAATTTAATTATTTTTTGTCGATAGTGTTGATTGGCATGACGTTAGTGGCTACGGACTAGGAAAAGATAGAGAGGGGGTGGCAATGACTTCTGGAAGGGGAAGAGTATCAATTGATTGCTAACAAGGTTGGAGGGATGATAGTGGACTGGGATAGAGGATGAGTGATGATAGACAACGGTTAGGTTGAGTTATATGCCAATAATAATTAAGGAAAAAATAGTTAGCTTGTTTATATGGTCTATTTTCATTAGTTATTACTAACAAATATAAATGAAAGATTAGAATTAATACTATAATAAAAATTAAAGGTAAAAAGTTAAAATTTGATTTGTGAACCAAAGTCAAACCTTGAATTTTTGTTTTCCTCCCAAATAAATAATTTTGTTTCCTCAGTTTTTTTACAAGAGTTAAAAACAAAAAAATATGAAATGAATGTTACTTATGTATAATGGTATTTTAGAATTTTTTATTACATAGTTAACGGGTCTAATGGTGCACTTCTGTCCACAAACCACATAAAGATTATGTGATCATTTCCAAACGTTAAGGGAATAGATCACACATGACTAAAATTATAAGGGATAAAGTGAAATTTGCCCAAAAAAAATTTCACTCATATTTTTTACTTTCTAAATATATTAAGATTAAGCGAAGCCAAAGATTAAAAAAAATTGATTAAAATATTTTTAAAAAATCATTAAAAATATAAAAATCTAAATCGGAAACTAAGAGAGAACTGTTTCTAAAAATTGAAAACCAAAGTGGATTTAGGCACTAATCATTAAATCACAAAAGTAAACACTCGTATTCCGAAATTAAAAAACAATAAGAATCACATCAAATCCTAGAGGCTCCACACCAGATAGATAGAGGGTCCACACAACTTCTCCATTCAAAAACAAACAGAAGAGAAGTGAAATACTAGAATGAAAACAATCAGTTAGTTTACTGCTTCTCCTCTTCGTGCTTGGGTGCTTCTTTGATCTCCTCTGCTCCATCATCCTATAAATAGGTCCAGCAATGCATGAGTTAAAAGAATACATTGATACATAACCAAAAAGAATGAAATGTAAAAGGTACTAAACCTGCATGTCTGAGGTCCACAAAGTCAGATTATCACGAAGGAGTTGCATTATCAAAGTGCTGTCCTTGTATGAATCCTCTCCCAGTGTGTCCAACTCTGCAATGGCTTCATCAAAAGCCTGAAGGAAATCGGATAACAATTAGAAAAAGGCACAAGTCACTAATAAATTAAAAATAACTCATTCATTAGCCAACTATAACAATAGGACTATCAAGAGGGCAACATAATTATGCTTGTAAGAAGCATTCGTCTAATTACTCTTTTTTGGGGCAGTTTCTCATTTGCTCACTAGTTTAGTTCATGAAAAAGAAGACTTCTGGTTCTTAAGAGCCCCAGACACAAGTCACACAACAATGTTAGTTACACCCTAGGCCCACATTCATGAAATGAATCTAGTTAAATAGAATGAAGTACGGATTATAAAGTACAAATATGGTTAATTTTTAGCAGAGGACCCACATGTTTTCCCCATATTTGGTAAGCATCTGAATTATACAAAAAGGGTCGCAATAAAATTCAGGTCAAAGAATGTACCAAGGCAAAGTGAACTCATCATGTCCTTTCCCAAATTAACATTGAACCTTGATTAACAAAAATTTCAGTTATTAATATCCTCTTTTTATCTATAGAGACTAAGATGTGTTCCTTCACCTGTTTTGCAAGGCTGCATGCTCGATCAGGCGAATTCAAAATTTCATAGTAAAATACAGAGAAGTTAAGAGCCAATCCAAGCCGAATTGGATGTGTTGGAGCCAACTCTGTATTTGCTATATCCTGCAAAGAGAACATTGAAATCAAGATGGAAACGGTAAATAACAAAATGAATCACAATTATCAAAACAAAGAAAGTTATATAAAACAACCCCAAAACCTAATATAATTTTTACCATTAGAGAGAGCACAACATTTGCAATATAAAAAGAAAAATCTACAAAACTGCATATATAATAAAAGATGAAAGTTTTCCCATAGATCACAGAAAAGTTTATAATTGTGATTCATGTGCCAATAAGTTGGCATTTAAAGGGGAAGGGTGGGGTAAGGGCATAGTTGTCAAAGGCTCAAGGCGCACTAAGGTGCGAAAATCTCCCAAAGCCTAAGCGAAAGGCACAACATAAAACGTGAGCATGAAAGAAGTAAGGTTCATGTGACATAAGAATGTATATTAAATATACACTTGCAAGCATAGTTGTCAAATTGGGATTCATATCGGGAATCAAAATGGTCTCGTACCAAATTGCAAATCAAATAGAATCGTGAATCATAAAAATTCGGTCATTTTTTTTAAATTACTTAAAAACATATATCTACATATTTAGATGTTAAATATATCTTATGAATATGAAATATTTAGACTTAAATCAATGAAAATGTTATTTTGAATGATAATCACGTAGTTTAATAGGTAAGAAGTTAACAAAGGTTCCTATGTAAGATCACCATCATATCTTTTCTTTTTTTTTAGACAACTATTCTTAATAAAGATAATAACCAAATAGACAAATTATCAATTTCCAAAGTAACAATAATTAACAATGATATTGATCACTAAAAACTCCATAATCACTAAAATAACAACAACTTATGTATATATGTTGGTTATTTTAGTATTAAAAACTATTAGAAGTTGTATTATATCATTTTCACTAAAAAAATGGAGAAAAAAAGAGTTGAAAATATGTCGGACACAATAATTTCAAAAAGTGTATGAATCATAAAAAGTTAATCGAATCGTGAATTGATTGTGAAGCGTGTGATTCACTAGAAATTCACTTCCAAAATAAATTCACCCATAAATTCGTATCTAATTTTGCAAAAATTACGAATCGAATCACGAATCATAAGATTCTGATAACAGAGCTTGCAAGTGAAAGCAATTTGAAATATGTAACAGAAACAGAAAAAAGGTAAAAAAAAAATTGACACATCAACTAAGAAAGTTAGACAAATCAATATAAATGTAAATATTTTGAATCGATAATTTTAGTATAGGCATTCACTAAAGCAAATAACTATTTCCATTTTGCAAATTGCAATAATGAAAAAGTTAGTTGTAAACTTTTTTAACATATTATCAAGCTAAGCATTACAAAGATCTATTTCATGTAATCAAACATAAGCTTATGAACCTAGAATAAAATATAAAAAATATAAAAAATTATAGGTATAATTTATAAAGACTGTAAATATGGTATAAAACATATCCATTAGTGGCTATTGAAAAATAAATAAAAGATAAAGATACTTTTTTAATATCTAAAAAAGCATGCCTTTCTTGAGCCTAAAGCCTACAAATGGAGCCAAATGAAAGGCACGAACCTAAGGGCTTTATGTGAACCTGAAGAAGGTGCCTAACTTGGCATAGAATAAGGCACTTTCTTCGATGCTTGCTAAGTAAGAGGGCATTTTTTGGGTCCTAAGCATGCCTTTAGTGGTTAGTGGATAGGATTTAGTTTTATTTATTTATTTATTTTTTATAATTCTTATCCTAATGTTTCTAACAAAATATGAATTTATTTAATTTATATAGTGAAAAAGGATCCATAAAACTGACCCCACCTAAATAGGTCAAAGACTTCGTTTGATATGATTTGGTTACCCTAATGTTCATATTCAAATTAAATTTTCGATTGAGCTGAGTCAGCAGCACAAGCAATCAAAATGATTTGTGCTACATAGACACTTTAAAATGTGTTGTGTAGTGTAACTATGTCATGCTTGGTCCTTGATTGTCAAACAAAAGGGCAGATCAAGTTCCTAGTTCACTTGGATACCTTTCAATGCCTAATATATAAACACTCTTCATATTTACACTTCAAAGATCAAATCAAATTATGTGTCCTATCATTTTAAGATGAATTCGACATTCCGACATACATGACAATCTGACATAAGACGAGATTTATTTCAAAGCATCTCACCACTAACCCCTTGGAGATGGAGAGGTTATTTGGTGGTCTTGGAGCAATGTTCTACACCATCATCGCATAACACTCGTCATCTTGTACATATAAAAAACACACACACAAAACTCCTGAGTCCCTCTATTTTAGCCAACAAAAATCAAGTCAAGCACCACAAGACCACCATATAATTTTTCCTACAGTCTCTTTTCAATTCCTAATATGTGAACAATCAAATCAAAACCCATGTCGTGCCATTTGACAATGAGATGAATTTGACAGTCAGACGTACACCAGCATGGCATCACTGACATGGGACCAGGTTTATTTCAAAACATCTCACAACTCACGCTGACCTAACAATTATTACAAAATCAATATTGCTATATTGACACAAAGGGAGACAACTGCATAACGCAAACAAAAATATTCCAATCATACCAAAATAAGCCATGAATGCAAGCCAAAATCTAACAACACAATCCAAATTCCAACACCAAACATCTAACAATCCATTTCTTGATCATAGCAGAAAGTAAAACACACCACCTTCATAAAACTTGCAATATAAAATAAAAGGCCATAAAAACAAAATGCCTCTCACCAAACCCCAAATTAATTAACATTCAACAGAAACATAAATCAATAAAACCCTAATCTCTCCTAACCATCGCAAAAATTCAGCTTGAAGAAAACCTAAAAAAATCAAATTGAAGTACAATAACAATAAAACAACCCTAATTTCTCTCAATCACAACAAAAATCATGCAAACAACAGATCAAAATGCAATCAAATCACAAACCTGCGCTGCCTTATAGGCATTGAGAGTGTTTTCAGCGGCCTCCTTTCTCTCAGCACCAGTCTTAAACTCCGCCAAATACCTATGATAATCCCCCTTCATCTTCAAATAAAACACCTTCGAATCTCCAGACGTAGCCGAAGGAATCAACATCGAGTCAAGCAATTTCAGAATCCCGTCGCAGATCGATGAAAGCTCGGACTCGATCTTGGTCCGATAATCCTTGATCGTTGCGACATGGTCGGCATTGCCGCGAGACTCCTCCTTCTGCTCGATCGAAGATATGATACGCCAGGAGGCGCGGCGGGCTCCGATGACGTTCTTGTAGGCGACGGAGAGGAGGTTGCGCTCCTCGACGGTGAGCTCCTCGGAATCGCAGACGGCGGCGGAGACTTTCTCCATGAATTCGACCATCTCTTCGTAGCGCTCGGCTTGCTCGGCGAGTTTGGCCATGTAGACGTTGTCTTCGCGTGGGGTTGGGGTCGCCATTGGAGGGGGATTTGGATGAGATCTGAGAATGGAAAAAGGGGGATTTGATTTGAATGAGGGAAAACGAAAGAGAAGTGGAGTTGGAGGAGAGCGAGAGAAAGATCGGGCACAAATACAATCCTATCCAATTGTTAGTACTTTAAAGTGGTGGGACGTTATGTGTCAGGGTCATCGGACACGTCAGCATGATGTTAACGTTTTCGTTGACCGAACCCTTGACGAGGTAGAGATAGTGGCTTGTTGGTTTGTTTTTTTGAGAAATAAATTTTGGTGAATTTTTTTAAAAAATTTGTTTGATTTGTGATTTTGAAAAAAAAAAAATTTAAAATTACTTTCTATTTTTTATACATTAATTAATTATTTTTTTCTCTCATCTTTCCTTTTTAATTATTTTTTTTACACACATCTATTTAATTATTACAAAATATCAAATCATTTTAAACTCTCATACTCCAAAATTATTTCTAAAATATACATCTAAGAAAAAAAAAAATTAAAATTACTTTCTATTTTTTATACATTAATTAATTATTTTTTTCTCTCATCTTTCCTTTTTAATTATTTTTTTTACACACATCTATTTAATTATTACAAAATATCAAATCATTTTAAACTCTCATACTCCAAAATTATTTCTAAAATATACATCTAAATAAACCAAAAAAACTTTAAACTTTTTCTCAAAATTTTTTTTAAAAAATTTATCTCCCAAAACCAAACCAAACACACCCAAAATTTTTTTTTTTTGAAACATGATTTGAATGAAAAAATTAAAAAAAATGTTTTGGAGCTTTAATTTTTGAGCTCTAATCAGTTTTAATGAGCGGGAAGTGGGCCTTAACTATTGTGATGTAATGTGATGTTTTTGGTTTTGATTTTTTTTTTCTCTTTATCATGTCATTAAGTTTCATTAGAGTATCAAAATTAGTGTTTTAAATCATTACTGAAAAATTAAAAAATTTAGAGAGTGTTTAGGTGTTGTTTGGAAATTGGAGTAAACTACAAAAATGTATTTTTTTTTACTTTGTTTATCTTTTTTAGGTCATATCATTTTTTTATTTTTTTCTATATTGTTTTTTATAAAAAATAAAAAATATGTTTATTTAAATCATTTCAAATAACTTTATGATGATTTAAATGAGTGCATTTGTTTATTTTTTTTTATCAAAAATACATATAAAAAAATAGAAAAATAATATAATTTAAATAAGAAAAAATTGGCTAGAAAATCTCATTTTTTGATCTTCTAATCCGTATGGTCCAATTGTTTTCTTGTTCATTGTGTAGTCCTTGTGCATGGTTGTTTACTTAATTGCCATTGGTCTGTTGAGTGGCAGTGGTTGATGCGGTTAATTATGGAAATTATAGCGTGTGTGTTTCACGTCCCCTAAAAATGTGTATTATTATGGCTTTATTTGGTAGAGTTTTTGAAGTTTAATTATATTCATTAGTTTAACTGTGTTGTTTGGTTACAACTTAAAAAAATTAATTTTACAGTTATTTTTTAAAATATTCACTTTTTAATATTATATGTCACATCACGTAATTTAAATTCTTTTTTAAAATTTATAATCAAATAAATTTTTTACGCTTAAATCATAATTTTAAAATTCACAAACTCAAAATATAATTATATTCTTAAATTATAATTCTAAAGCTATGTTTTTATTGTGTAAATTGAAAATGCACGTGATGTTGTGGAACGTGAACAATGCAAGTGTCACGTGAGAATGTAGGGGATTGTAGTGAATCATTTTTTTTTTTGGTACAACTCGTTGGCCACACCCGTTTTGTCAGACGGTACAAATGCTTTTGGTAATTGTCTGACCCAGCCTGTATAACTAATTAATGTGTCTGGGTTAATCCCTAAATTGGGAACAAACAGTGTATACAAAATCAGCGGAATGCTAAGATTGTTTGATTGTAGGTTACCATGTTTGAAGTTTGAAATTTGAAATGGGGGACTACGATTGCGTCCAACGTTAGTGATTGGAGTTAGATTTTTCGAACAAATTCACATATTGTTTTTCATTATAAGTGATAATAGTTTATCAGATTCCGTTTCTACACCTGACAAGATATTTATTGGAGTTGGAGAGGGTAATCCTGGGACTTGAATTGTTGATCCTGACCAGTCCGATCGATTTCGGATGCTAAAGAAAATGAGATTCAAGCTCGTTGGTGGCAAGGACAAAGAGTACGTTCGTCACGGGATAGAAGTTGTAGACCGGTTCTTCCCAGTTGATGTTTGGACGGACTACAAAGATACGTTGTTGGGAAATGTTGGAAGTATTCAAAGGGGTGTCATATATTTAGTAGCTGCTACTGTTAGTGGAAATGAATGCAAAATTAGTTTAAGGAGTCAAATATACTTTAAATTTGTTTAGAATTGTAATTTTATGTATTTTATTTCTAATGTTCAAGTTAATGGAGGTGGACGATATAAATACTGGGGTTGTTGAAGGTGTTTCAACAAGTGATTTCAGTTGTATTGAATTTGCGTTGCCTAATTTATTTTCTCAGTTGAATTGTAATTTTATGTATTTGATTTCTAGTGTTGGTTGGTTGATTGTGTCATATGTTGCTGGTGTACATGTGGTGCCCTAATTTTTTTTAGAATAGTATTGTTGTTGTTGTGAGCCTTTGTATTGTGTCTGGTGGAGCGGGAAAAGTTTCGATGTACGGGTGGAGAATGTCTGGGAAACGTAAATATTTCTCTATTCCATTAGATGGTGTGTGTTTGTGCATGTTATTGTGTTGAGTTTGAATTAATGCAATGTGAAGTGATTTATGTTTGATGTGTCTATGTCACTTTTAATGTGAATTTGTGGTTGGATGTATATTTGGGGGTTTTTTTGTATGAAAAAATGTAGTGAGTGTAGGGGACAACGCGTGGGAGATTGGGGCCCAATTTGGGGTTTCGATTGATGGGAGGGGGCGTTGGGTTTATTTGTTGTTGGCCTGTTGATTTGAGGTTGTATGTGATGTGTGAGATTGTATATTCAATGTGGAATCACAAATTTCAAAATGAAACAAACTTTCCGAAATAATCAAATGAGGGTATATTCATCCCCAAATATGCATCTACATTTGAAATGGGACTCTATGATAGCCAATTACACCAAGATAGGACTTGCTAATCAAACCATCAAAACGTGGGACCAACTGGTCCCAAAATATGACTTTTGAATAAATTTCCCTTAAATAAATACATTTATCTAAATAAATACATTTATCTAAACTTATATAGGTTATGCCAAACACCCTTTACTTAGTTAATTAGTTTTTGAGTAAATTACAAATACATCCCCTGAGGTTTGCTTAAAATACGAATTGCCTCCTGTGGTTTGGAAAATTACAAATACCTCCCTGTTAGAATTTTTTATTTAACATAACTAATTGAAAAAGTAAAATTTTTAACTATTCACTTATACAATAATAAAATTATATAAATTATTAATTGAAATAAAATTTTAATATTATTAAAAATTGTTGACTAACTTGATGATTTATTAATAAAAATACCTATTTGTTATGAAATTAAAGACCTTAGTGGCATAATGTAATTTATAAAATTACAGGGAATAATTTGTAATTTAAATAAATCTCAGAAGATGTGTTTATAATGTACCTTTAGTTTTTAAAATACAATTCAAAACTTACGGTTGGTTTGGGATGTTCTAAAAAAGTGTACTTTTTGACTTATTGGCTTATATGGGTTGGGTTTGATGTGATGTGTTAAAGAGGTAATGTGATTTAAATAAGATGATGTGACTTAAATAGGATAGTGACTTTTTGACTTTTTGTATTATTTAGGTCATGCCAAACTTGACCTTAATTTCATCTATTCTCTCTTCTTTTTTTATTATTATTAAATTAATTTATTATTTTTTTCTCCTCTATTCTCTTTCGTTCTCTCATATGTTATACATCAATCATTTAAATTTTCTCTCACACACCATCTATTCAACTAAATAAAAAATAAAAAAATATATTACAAATCACAAAAAAAAACTATTTTCAAAATTCATAACCAAATAAATTTTAACTTTCAAAACTCTTTTTAACAGCTAATTTTTTTAAATACAACTCAAAATTCATTTCAAAACTAAATCAACCGGAACTTATTTCGTCATGTCCTGATCTAACAATGTATTGTCATTTTTGCCGTTATTTCATTTATGTTTTAAGTCATGTAATTGTTAAGCCCTTCATTACTAATTGGATACACCGATAATATAAAATTCTTAAAATACAGTATAATTACTCATAACATGGAGTATAGATAGGGGTGTAAATTTGGCCTAGCTTAGCCCACCCGAGCCTGGACTCGGATCGGTTCATATCTAGTTTTATGGGGTCCCACCAAAACTTGGGCTGAGCTAAACCAGCCCGCGATTTAGAAAATTAGGCCCAGGCTTATGGGGTATGCAGGCCTTGGGCGGCTCGGGCCTGGGCCTGGGCTTGGAAAGAGCTTGAATATTTTTTTTCACTAAAAAATTATTTTTTTCCATAAAAAATGACACCGGGATTTGAGTGGGGCCTTGAGCGGGTTGGGCCGAGTTTCAAAATGATGGTCTAGGTCCAGGCCCAAGGGTCCCGGGCTGGGCTCGAGCCTAACCGATCTGAGCCCACCCCGGACAGCGGACAGGTTTTGGGCCGCCCAAGGGTCGTGGGCCATTTTTACACTCCTAAGCCTAGGCTATCCAACTTGATAAATCATTTGATTTTGATGGATTTATTTTGGGTCTAATTTTAGTTATTTGAAATATTCACTTTTTAAGACATATATTAATTAAATTTATTTTTAAAAAATGAACAACATTTATAATTTCAAATATATTTTTTTAACTTTTTAAATATAAATGTGATTCAAACATATTTGTTTGGTACGTTTACGTTTTCAGTTTATATTTACAAAAATTTTATAAACTGATTTTTGTTTATTTTTTGTTTAACATAAACTACAAATGCATTTGGTAATTAACAACATGTTTAAAAATATAAAAAAGAGTAAAAAATGGCAAGTGGTGGCAAGTGGCGGCGGAAGACGGTGGTGGTGGAAAGTGGTGACGGTGGGTGGTGGGTAGCGGGTGGTGGTGTGAATTTTTTTTAGTATTTA